GAAGCAGACTCCCTGCTGAGCAGGGAGCCTGATGTGGGACTTGATCCCGGGACTCCAGGATCATGACCTGGGCTGAAGGCAGTTGCTTAACCAACTGAGCCACCCAGGCGCCCTCACAATGACTTCTTACACTTGAGCTCTTTGGGATGCAGAGCTGCCCCCAAAAGTCAGGTGGGTGACAGTCAAACCAGACCAGCGGACTCTAGCTCAGAGGTAGCCAAAGTTTGTGTTTTTTTTTTTTTTAACACAATCTGTCACATATATTTCTTATCTTCAAACTGAACTTTGGCTTGGTTTGAAGTTGTCAGCTGCATTTTAAAGTACTGTTCGCTTTGATTTTTGTCATCTTTTTCTCAATTGGTTATCCTTTTCTTACCAACAATTTTAAGTTATTTCCCTTTTCTCTTTTATTTCTTTTTTTTTTTTTTAAAGATTTTATTTATTCATTTGAGACACAGAGATAGAGAGAGAGAGAGAGAGCGCATGAGCAGTGGGAGAGGCAGAGGGAGAGGAAGAAGCAGACTCCCCGCTGAGTCAGGAGCCCGATGTGGGACTCGATCCCAGGACCCTGGGATCATGACCTGAGCCGAAGGCAGACGCTTAACCATCTGAGCCACCCAGGCGCCCCTCTTTTATTTCTTAAACATTAATTTCCCTCAAATTTAATCCTCTATTCATGTATTCTACACTCACTTCCATATCCTTTTATGTGATATACCATTTTTATACTGATGCTTGGCACTAATTTTCTCTTTGAACTAAGGGCCCTGATGAGAATACTTTTTCAGTATGTCTCACTGTCTCATGAAACTTATGGAAACTGACTTTATCTTGATTTTTCCCAGTCCCTTCTTTCCCTTTTCCCTTTAGTAGCATTAACTATTCTACCAGCTTAAAATTTTGGAAGCATTTCTGAAATTTTTTTTTGGATTACCAAGGGACTTTGCTGGTAGCTGCCCTGTATATTTAACGAATTCTCCAAATAATTCTGACGCACACAAAGGATTAAGAATCACTGTCTTAGAGAGACATCTTTGCCTTTTTTTCACTACCTGTATCCAGTGTTCTTCTGTGCCCTCCTGATTCTTTTGCCCACACTGTATGTCAGTACAGTACTTGCTATTTCTATAGCTAATAGCCAGCTTTAGACTCAGAACTTCATACTTCCATTGTCTTATATATACATTTCTTAAGACATTCTTCTTCAGACGCTGTTTTAATACTATTACTTTCCTGGTTTGAAATGTTCAGTAAATTTCAGGTACCAATTTGTATAATATCAAATCAGTCTAAATACAGAGTAAATGGAAATACACTAAAAATGTCAGTACTAGTTATCTTTGAGGATAGGATAATGAGTGATTTTTATTTTCTTTTTTTGTGCTTTTTTTTTCTGTAATAAGCATTTTTTTTTTTTTAAAGATTTTATTTATTTTTTTGACAGAAAGAGACAGTAAGAGAGGGAACACAAGCAGGGGGAGTGGGAAAGGGAGAGAGAGAAGCAGGCTTCCCGCTGAGCAGGAGCCTGATGCGGGGCTCAATCCCAGGACACTGGGATCATGACCTGAGCCGAAGGCAGACGCTTAATGACTGAGCCACCCAGGCGCCCCAGCATTTTTTTTTTTTAATAATTGAAGGGAAATTACATTTTTTTTAACCTGTGTTTCCCTACCAGTATGTTTCATTAAGTGCAAATTCTTCTATTGGGCTTGAAAGACCCACCACCAGCTTTTACCTTCCATCTTTTCATTTCGTACACTCCTAAGTCCAGTGGTTCTCACAGTGTGGTCCCTGCATCAGCATCACTTAGATATTAGAAATATAAATTCTCAGGCCCCATCCCAGACCTATTGAAATCGGAAACTCTGGGGATGGGGCTCAGCAAAGAGTGCTTTCACAAGTCCTCCAGGTGATTCTGATTGCATGCTCAAGCTTGGGAACTCCTGCACTGCCTGTCCTCTCATGATAGCTGCTATTAATTTCCTGTTCCACTAAGCCAGCGTTTATGCTAGTGGTTCCCATGCTTGTCCGCACACTGAGACACCTTGTCATCTTAAAAAATACTAATCCTGGCTTCCATCCCCAGATATTCTGATTTTATTGGTCTGGGTGTGGTCTGGCCATGGGGAATTTTAAATGCTTCTCAGGTGATTCTAACGTGTAGCAGTTTGTCAACCACTGGTGCATGCCTTTGCCTTTCACCTCGTCTGCCTTTCCAGGGGGAATTCCTCACTCTTCACCTGTTTGCTAATCTTTGCTTTTTTCTTTCTTGAAAACACTCATTTTAGGACTTCTTTAATTATCCTCATTCCATTCCATCAGATCACTCCTTTATGATCTCTGGGATGTTTATGTAAAGTGCTTTATAGATAGTCCCAAGGCTCATTATGAGTTTATATTTACAGTTGACAGCTCCTTGAAAACAGGAAGGTATTATTTTTTCCTTTTTAAAAAAATCTCTCCCAGCTCTGCTTCCTGCTCAGCATTCATGGGTCTGACAGATTTTAAGATGGAAGTATGACTGTTGGTGGAATACTCAGATGATTGTTGTTGATTCTTTAGATTTTTTCACTATATTTTAAAATGTTTAATTTTTATTCTATTCTAGCTGCAACAGATCAACTTCATGAGCCTAATGCAAATAGTAGGATCATCCTTTACTAACCTCCCGGATATACATCAACTTCTACAGCAGCCTCAGCCCGTGCCTTTGGTGGGAAGTCAAGTATCAAACCCCACAAGAGGGAGTAGTGATGTTGATGACACCAGTAGAAATTTTAAGGAAAGATCTTTTATTAAACCACAGTCCATGGGCGAGTACACCACAGAGCCTGGCAAGAAGAGTCCACACGGCCATAAAGGAATTGTGCAGTCTGATCAGAATAGTAATGGAAATTTACAGGTAATACATTTAAAGATATCATTAAAGTTCTAGTAGTTCAGTTGTTGGCTTTTTGTTATTTGAGCAAATAACTTTTTGGCAGTTATTACATTCCACTCCTTCCAAAATATATTGAACATCATGTACAAAATAAGGAGTTTGTAATATATTCTAAACTTATGTAATAGCTTTTTTTTTCTCTTCCAGAATGTTCCACATGGGAGTGTTCCTTTATGTCAGTTAGAAGGCCTGCCTCCCAACACAGGACTGACTCCAACATCTCCAAGCTTCCCAACCGCTGCACTGTCACCAGCTCCTACTGGAAACACTCCCCTCCACCTTCTGTCTCCATCTTCTGCCATCCTGAAGACACCTGGACTCATCCCAGCTGCAAAAACTTTCAAACCTGGAGATGGTTTTCCTTTGCTTCAGTTTCAGGCTAAGCATGAATTTAAGTCCCTTTCCTTCCATACAGGAAGAGTTCCACAGGTTCCCTTCAGGCTCCTGCCGCAGCCAAGAGAGGCGTGGGGATTATCAGATTCCTTCCAGCCTCCTTTGCCACAGAGAACAGTGCACACCACTTCAGTGTCCCATCTGAGTTTGAGCCACTGTAATACTGAAGCCATAAAAAAAGCAGTTGAGCAGAAGAAATGGCCAGAAACTGTAATTACAGAAATCACTAAGCATGTGAACTTGGATCAGTATGTTGGTCAAGAAAACTTGACACCTCAACAGGACTCTTCAGTATTTATAAAACCAGGGAAAATACTTGATGTTAAGCCAGGACCCCTTGAGATATCTCCTCAGAATTCCTTTGGACTTCCATTATTGCACCTGCAACTTAAACCTCCTTATATATTTTCCTCTGCCTCAAGAGCATCAGTAACAATTCCCTCAATACCTACCAGAACTGTAGCAGAAGAAAGAAAATACCCAAGACTGTCATTACTTCATTCATGCCTATACCCCAAAAACACGGTAATGATTTTTGCAGAGTGATGCAAAAGCAGTCCTGCATTTTTCATACCATAAATACTACACATGAAATGAAAAGCTCTTACACATTTCTTTTTAAAAAAATAATGCTTCTAAAAAAATTAAAAATTAATAAAAATAATGCTTCTGTTATTGGAAATAACATAAAATTCTAGTTTAAAATGGTAATTAGGCGGGGCGCCTGGGTGGCTCAGTTGTTAAGCGTCTGCCTTCAACTCTGGTAATGATCCCAGGGTCCTGAGATCGAGCCCTGCATTGGGCTCCCTGCTCAGCAGGAAGCCTGCTTCTCCCTCTCCCACTCCCCCTGCTTGTGTTCCCTCTCTGGCTGTGTCTCTCTCTCCCTCTGTCAAATAAATAAATAAAAAATCTTTTAAAAAATAAATAAAATGGTGATTAGGAATTTTAAAGCTGTTAGGTCTGTCTTGTACGGCAATACTAGAATTCGTGAGACTTTTTTTTTTTAAGATTTTATTTATCTGTCAGATAGCACAAGCAGGGTTAGCGACAGGCAGACAGAAGCAGTCTCCCCGCTGAGCAGGGAGCCCGATTTGGGACTCGATCCCAGGACTCTGGGATCATGACCTGAGCTGAAGGCAGATGCTTAACCAACTGAACCACCAAGGCGTCCCTCGTGAGACTTTTTCGTAGGTATTTCTTCTGCTCAGAGAAGAAATAAGAAATAAAACAAAATGACCAGTATTCTTGTTCATGTGGGTCGTGTGTGTGTGTGTGTAGAGAAAGGGAGGGCACGTGTGTAAATGTGCACACACGCATTAATATTCCAAGTAATTGTGATATGATTGCCTTCAGTTATAGTTTAAAACTGTTAAATAGACCCAGATCTATAAATAGTTGTGCATATTTTAAAAATGGTGTATTTTTTAAAGTACTTAAAAAGATTGAATCTTTATAAACCCACAGAATCCTCTTTAAAGTTGTAAGCTTTGATTTATGAAATTCATATTGTTTAGGCTCTAATTTTATAAGTCAGCGGTACCATCTTAGGAAGGTAATTGAATAATTCATGCTCTAGTGCACTTTTAATTTTAAGATTTGAAGACAGTATTGGGAAAAGAAATGGTCATTCTTTAGAGGAAGTACTTATCATGCCTTTTATTCTGAATGTACTATGAACAGAAAAGAAAAGATTAAAGGTGTGGAAAAGTAAACATTTTGAGAGGGACGTAACGAAATTTTATTGGGCGCCTGGGTGGCTCAGATGGTTAAGCGTCTGCCTTCGGCTCAGGTCATGGTCCCGGAGTCCTGGGATCGAGTCCCGCATCAGGCTCCCCGCTCTGCGGGAAGTCTGCTTCTCCCTCTGCCTCTCTCTCTCTCTCTCTCATGAATAAATAAATAAAATCTTTAA